TTTTCGCATCTAGCTTGCACATCTTAAGCCGTACATTTCCTAGACCATTCCGGAATTGAATAAAAACGTTAACTATTATTATTTGCAATTAACAATCAATTTTATTTAGTCTCTGAATGAACAATTTTCGTTTTGTGATCGAGGACAGTTTAAGCAACTGGGGCCACGGGCAGATGGGCGCCCTGGGGCTGGTATCCGTTCTCATCGGCCACGTAGGTGATGGTGAACTTCTCGCCGGTCTTCTCATCCACCCAGGAGAAGGATCCGTGGACAACAGCGGCCTCGTGCTCGGTGCCAACGTCCTTCAGGACTCCCTGCTGGTCGATGCTGGTGCCATCGCTGGTCTCCAGGACGGAGCTCCACTTGTCGGGCTGCACATCGGAATCCTGCCTCACGGTCTGGACATCGTTGGGGCGGGCCACGGCCAGGGCGAAGAGGGCGACGAAGACGATGAGGAACTTCATGTTGTATAGGGATAGAAAGCTGGTGACTGTCTGATGCTCCACTGCAGCTGGGTGGGGGCTTTTATACGCCAAAAATCGCGAAATGCAAAAGTCAAAGGTGGCAATGAATTCGGCGGATTGCAAATGAGTTCTGCTAATATTTATGTAGATCTGTGGCGATAATGAGCGCATCGTTATTTCAGCATTGTTTCCGGTCAAACTGGACTGGTCACCTCAAACTTCAAACTATTGTCGTTCAACCGGCTGCATTCGATGGCTGCGCTTAGTCGGGGAAGAAAGGGGTGAATCCACCGGTCGGTGATCTTTCGAGCAATTTAGAGCTTTTATTTTATACACCTTGTATCATCCAAATTCGGCAGAAGAGTTTGTTTACTGCTATAACGAATGCATGCTAATAATGAAAACGGTTTTAGGTATTTTTTTTGGCAAACCGCAGTTTACTGTTAGGGGTAATCTCTGTTGGTCTCAGTTAACTTTTATAACTTGGTCATTTAAAATAGCACATGCTATTTATTTGGGCTACCATGCACCATTCCATTTAACGCTGCAATTTCAATTTGTTATGGTATAGAAAAACAGTTGCCCAGTGTTATGAATATCATCTGAAAAGTCTTGTAAGTGCCCTTAATGGTTGTCAGTTTTCCCAATATTGATTGTTTTAAAGTATCTTTTGCTGCTATAGCTCTAGAATAAACCCACTGTTAGCTTAAAGTTTTAACTATAAGTTAGCATTAGATGATAATAATAATAATAATCTCTAAAAGAAGACTCTAAAAAATAATTTTAGATGCGAAAACCGGAATGATACATTTGAAAACTTTTGTTTTTCAAATACTTTTATATACTTTATACTTTTATACTTTTTAAGCCATTTTCTTTACTGTTTTTAAAGGTTTAACCTGTTCCTGCATCTGAAGTCTTAGTGCATAATTTTCCCTGTCATTATAAATGGGTTCTACCTGAATAAATGGATAGATGGGGGTGACATTCGATTTTCTTGCCGCGTTTATTTAATAATCAACTAGAAACCAATATACATAGAACAGCTCTCGGTTAGCGTTTCCGCTTCCGCTTAGTTGCCAATGGGCACATTGGGCAGATGGGCACCCTCGGGCTGGAATCCGTTCTCGTCGGCGATGTAGTTGACGGTGTAGGTGACACCATCATCGGCCACGAAGGAGTAGGAGCCGCGGACCACGATGGCCTCCTGCTCGGTGCCCACGTTCTTCAGCTGACCCTGCTCCTCGTGCTTCTTGCCATCGCTGGTCTCCAAACTGCGGGAGAAGGGGGTGGTTATAATCCTGGCTTGTAATCCCGGCCTGGAAGGACTTACGCAAAGTTGTAGCCCTCGGGCTGGACATCGGACTCCAGGCGCAGGATCTGGGCCTCCGAATCGGGGGCGGGGGCGGCCAGGACGACGGCGAAGAGGGCGGCGAATACGATGGCAACTGTGCACTTCATGGTGACTCTGTGGGGTTTTCTTTCGGGTTGATTGGTTGAGGATTCGATGGGAACTTGCGTCCGAGCGGCTAGTCAACGTTACTTGATTTGTGATGTCTGTGGCCCTGTCCAGGCGTTTATATAGTCGGATCGGAGGCCGCCAATCGAAGAAAAGTCAGTCGAAAATAAAAATGACTAATTACACGCCGGGCACCAAAGCCAACAAATTGGCTTGAAAAACGCACAAAAACTTTATGAAAAAAGCACAACAACCATACCAAGACGCAAATAATAACGTAAAACAAAAACTTCTAAGGCAAACAAATCGACGCCGTTTTTAGGAAATACCTCATCATCATCATTTGCATTTTTCGTGAATCAATCAATCCAATCGCTTCCAAGTCGAAGACAACGAGCCAAACATTTTTGATAATCCATGGGTATTCATATTTTGTGGCAGAGTGGGACGGACAACTCGCCCTGCAACAACAGAAGCATCGGGCCCAGAAACCACAGGTGAATCGAATCGGAAGCCTGTTTCGGGTTAAAAAACCACAGTTGACAGTAAATAAATTTAAATCATCAAAAGGTGCAATTCCTGAAAAATAAATTGATTCAAAAATAGCAGGAAATCTAAGAATACTAGAAACTATTGGTTAAACTACTGACGGTGGTTCAAGAACTTTATTATTCAACATTAAAATATACACAGCAGTCATGCAGTCAAAAGTGGAAGTGAAATGTATTACAATAGGTAAGCATTTATCTATTAAAATAACAACAAATTCTAAAGATCAGGAATGTGATGGATTTTAATTTTAATTCTACATATCATTAAATTTTAGTTGTAATTATAATAGATTGACATCCCATTTATTCGTAAGCGTCAATAATACAAGTCTGGCAAAACAAATGGACCAAACTCCTAAGAAATGTGACTTTAACGTTGCCAAAAGAAGTTTCCCATTTAATAATGAACATTCTTTACAGAAAGATAATCGTTTATTGTTATTGATTATGTGTGGTATTTACCAGTTTGGTTCCTTTTTTTTAATATTAGGTTCTAATATTTTAAATCCCAAAATAAACAGCGAAAGTAATACTTAAAGTCAATGGTATTTTAATGAATCTTTATATTAGTAAGCTGTCCACTTACATCCCAAAATAAAAAGCGAGAGTAATACTTGAAGACAATAGTACTTTAATATTATTATGATTATCAGACCAAACTTCTTTTTATTTTCTCTTCATGTATAAGTAAGCTTTCATTACTAACATCCCAAAATAAAAGCGAGAGTAATACTTGAAGTCAATAGATAGTACTTTAATGTTATGATGTTTTTCAGACCAAACTTCTTTATATTTTCTGTTTATACAAGTCAGCTTTCATTACCTAAATCCCAAAATAAAAAGCGAGAGTAATACTTGAAGTGAATGGATGTTATTTTAATATGATGATGCTTTTCACACGAAACTTAAACATAGTTAACACATTTATGCTGGGCTGGAACTTGATGGGCGAATGACTTTCAATCGGATTCCTCTCGGGGACCTGTGTCCGCTTTACTGAACGGCCCTGGGCAGATGGGCGCCCTCGGGCTGGAAACCGTTCTCATCGGCCAGATAGTTGATGGTGTAGGTCTGGCCATCGTCACCCACATAGGCGTAGGATCCGCGCACCACCAGGGCCTCGTGATCGGTGCCCACGTCCTTCAGCTGGCCCTCCTCCTGGTGCGACTTTCCGTCGCTGGTCTCCACGCTAAAGAAAACCAGAAACCAGTTAGCGAACGACCTTGACACAGTTGGAAATCTGGGAGTATGGTCAACACTTACGCGAATTTATAGCCCTCGGCCTGGACGTCGCTGTCGAATCGCAGCACCTGGGCATCCTGCTGGATGGCTGGTGGAGCGGCCAGGACGCAGGCAAGCAGGCAGGTGAAGGCGATGGCAATGGTGAACTTCATCTTGCAGCTGGGGATTGGTTAGCTGGGATTGTTGACTCAAGTGCTGGGTTCGAGGAGCTTGCGGACAATGCTTGCAATTCCCTCGGCGAGTGGCCAATTTATACTCCTTGGGCCATGTAATGCAATGCGTGTAAGTGGCAATTACCTGAGCAAAAGAAGCCGAGACCCAAAAAAAAATAAGAGTGAGAGTGGGAGAAACCTGTTTCTCGTTTTGTTTCCTTTGACCCACACCGGTTACCTAACCAGTTGCTGGATGCTTTGGCTCGGCTTTAGCCCGGTTGGCTGTTTGGCGATTGATTGATTGCCCAGCGACAAGATACACAGATTTCATTTGTCTTCAACAAATTAACTACAAAGTGAGCCCTGCCCAGGCAATGAGTTGCGTTAGTTGGGCTTAGAAATAGTCAATAAACTGGGGAACTGGGTCACATCGAATTCGGCTCAAGTGCAGGCGAAATGCTCGGCCTAAAAAAAGTCTTTGCCATTTCCAATTTCAATGTCATTTAAATAAAGAAGTATTTTTTCTAATTGCCAATCCTAATAACTGCTAGTTCCTATCATTTACTTCTGTCTATTTAGTAAACTTTTGATAGAAGTATGTTTTTTCATACATGTTAAAGAGTTGGTTAAAAAAAATCCCCGAAATTCTATGTTAAGAGTTGAGCTTCATCGATTCCTCATACTTTTTCTTATTTAAATAAATTATATTTTAAATTAGCCGTTTATATCTGAGGGTCGCTTTACGCTTAAGCTTTGATATTCAATTTAGCTATTTTTGGATTCCTTTTAATAAAGACTCTTTCCAATAAAGACAAAACAATTTTAGCTTTATGGTAACATTAAGAAGCTTGTGTTTTTTTTTATTCGCAATAAAATTAAAATTAGGGCCATTAATAACATTTTGTTCACCTTTTTTTCACAAACCTAAATTCGTAAAAATAAAGCTAAATGCTTTCATTTGCATTTGATTCAAAATTGTTGAAGAAATAGTTAGTAAAACTGAAAGAAGTAAAAGTGCATAACGTTCAACAATAAAATTCCATTCAAAAATACTTAATTTCTTAAACAGAACTCGTTGTTATGAATATTCGAAGCCAAGTGATCAAAAACCAAAGCAACTTTTTTGAAACGTTTTAGGCTAATTTAGAGGGTTAAGGCAACACCATTTGAACTTTTTGGAGCGTCTCCGCAGCAAATCGTCTGCTTTCAATTTCATTTCGACTTGATTTGCCTGCTTTTTGGCTGCCGCTCGAGTCATTTGGATATTCGCATTTTATTGCACACTCCGTTAATTAGCCCCAGTTCGCGTTGGGCTTAGTATGGATTGCATGTGGATATATTGAACGGCCATTGCGCAATCCGAGTTAGTCGCATGCGCGGATTGGCACAGGACGGGTTACAGGTGACAGATGGCCAGACTAACACTGCTGCTGGGCCTAATCCTGGCCAGCTTCTGTGCGTGCCCCTCAAATGCCGCCGAAACGGCACAGATACTGCGATACGAGAACGATGTCAACCTGGAGAGCGATGGCTATGCCTTCTCGTAAGTAGGTGGTTCAGGGTCAAGGTGGAGTTTTTGCAATAAATTGCTTACAGACATCTCCCTTCAGATTCGAGACCAGCGATGGCATCTCACGCGAGGAGAGGGCCACCCTGAAAAATCCCGGCACCCCCGAGGAGGCGATCGCCGTCCAGGGCAGCGTCAATTGGGTGGGTCCCGATGGCGTCCACTACAAACTCAACTATCTGGCCGATGAGAATGGCTTCCAGCCCCAGGGCGCACATCTTCCGCAGGTGGAGCACTGATCACGTGATAGCTTTGGACTTTGTTTAAAATAAGGCAAAACCACCGGATAGCTGGAGGAGGCGGGCAAACAATAGAAATTATATATATAAAAAAATATATAGACATATATGTGTATATATCGATATGGCGGGGCATAAATTTTCACCCCTCGAAATTGAATTGTATTCTAGGCAGGGAATTAGCATATACATTTGTATCTTCCAAACCCGTTTACTCTTCGCGCCTGAGTTGTGGACTGTATGCGGTAACCGATCCCCCGATCTGCGATCTGCGATCTGCGTTCCCCGATCTGCGTGAGCTGACCAAACCGGTTCAATAAACGACAAAGGTTGCCAAAAAAGCAAACAACAATTAAAGAAGACACAAAGCTGCCAACGAAAGTGAGAACTTCGTGGAAAAAAGGGCATTTTAAGGCAATTAAGCGAGGCTCCTCTCATTTATCAACCGTAAATTACAAAATAATCAGTCCTTTCAAAGCTTAGACAGGTCAGCCTGCACTGAGGAAAATGTTTATATTTTGGCAAACCAATAAATGTAATAATTTGGAATAAATGGAAAAATATGCAAATTCGTTCTTATTTTTTTGACATTTTAAATTACCCATAATAAACAATTTTAAATAATTTTTAAAGAATAAATTTAAATTAAAACAGTTCTAGTCTTTGAAATAGATTTATGCTAGCTTCAACTAACTACTACACCTTTTTTTTTTAATTTTATTTTTCCTGTGTACCATTCACTGATTTTTGAATGATTTATAATGCCGGCAAATGGCCTGCACTGACATTACGCATACGCCCCGGTGTGTTGTAGGGCATAACCCAGGCTCAGTCGGCTGAGCTTGGTATTGGCTTTTGTTGTCTGGTTAGCTGGTAAAAAATCGTTTTTATTTTATTGACTAAGGTCATCAACCAACACTCAGGCTGCCGACGATGGAGATGGAGATGGAAATGATGATGATGAGCCGCGTAATCTTGAATCTCTCGTGCCGCATCTTCACTTGAACAGCAAATGCAGCTGACAAGCAATGGCGTTGGAGGTTTTTGTTTCGTTTCGATTCGATTCGAGGCTTTTGGAGGTTAAATCGCCCAGCCTTAATCGGAAATTGTGTCAGCAGTTACCAGAGCTGAGAGCGGAAATGCTTCGGTATCAACCAAATACCATACACTTTGCAGATCTCCAGTTGGGTAATTGAAGAATTACTTAAATGAGGAAACACCCCGCCGAATAAAAAGAAATAAATTATTAAAATAGTGGGCAATTAAGTCTCAAGCTCATGGGAACTCCACGATTTCATAAACCGCCTTCTTCTTCCCGTTCTTTGCTTAATTTCCTGAACATTTTTTCATGAATGTTGTTAACTTAACTTAACTTCCTCACTGTTCACTTCTCTTGGGGATTTTACTTCAAACCCATTTTGGTTGCTCATTTGGCTATAATCTTTTTCATCACAATTTGCTGATAAGTGCAAACATAGCCATTGACCTATTGCCACAGATCCAAATGTGTGTGTCTGTGTACTTGTTCGCAAACACGCGCATTGGTCAAATATTTATTTTTTAAAAGGCCCAAACATTTCAATATTACTCGCCCCATCATCTTCAGCTTCGATTTTACTTTCAGCTCCCGTGGCGAGGCAATTGTGATGAGATCCGAGCGCACATCAAACGCTTAATGGTCTTTATACCACTTGGCTTGTTCAATTAAAAGCTTAAGGCACTCAAGCTCACACACATTTGCCTGCAATTATGTGCGTATGGGTAGACAGATAATTGTGTTAGCATTTAAGGTGTTTGTTATGGGCCACCTGAACTTCACGGATCACATCAGTGTGTGTGTGGTTGGTAGCACTTGGAGTGTTGGCCAGGCCAGTTATAAATAGCCCAACACTCATTACAGGGCGCCACATTACTCGTTAGTGCCTAATTGTGATAACTCCCGGAGCGTGCAGTCCAAGCATAAAGTCCAAACTCATCGCAGGACCTTTTGAAAAGTTTTAAATAGAAAATCGAAGCAAACATGCAGTCCTCCAGCATCTGTGTCCTGGCCATTTGCGCCTTCGTTCTGGTTTCCTCGATCAGTGCCGCTCCCCTGGATGACTCCCAACATGCCACTATCCTGCGATATGACAACGACAACATCGGCACCGATGGCTACAACTTCGGGTGAGTGACGAAAGGAAAGCGAAGGATATCCCACAGGATTAAAACAAAAATTACTTTTGACTTCATTAAAAATTGGGATTCTCAAAAACCTTAGTTACTCAAACACCTTTAAGAAAAACTCTTGCTCGAGAAAGAAACTTTAGAGTTCATATCACCCAAATATGATCTTAAAATATTTAAAATTCATAAATATTTGTTTCCAATATCGAGCAAAAGTACTCTATAAAGAAGACGACAATCGTTATTATGAACTTAAAAAACCTTTTTCTCTTCCAGTTACGAAACCAGTGATGGAATCACCCGCCAGGAGCAGGCTGAGCTGAAGAACGCCGGCACTGACCAGGAGGCCCTCAGCGTCCGTGGATCCGTCAGCTGGGTGGCTCCCGATGGCCAGACCTACACCCTGCACTATATTGCCGATGAGAACGGCTTCCAGCCCCAGGGTGACCATCTGCCCCACAACTAAATATAACTCATTGGTGTAGCCAGTATTAATCAGTATTTCTTCATGTTGTAAAATAAAATCGAGTTCTAAAATTTTTTATTTTTTAATCATTCACTAATACATTGAAGAAAAGGTCCTAAACATAGAAATATTTAAGATCAGTATACACACGTCAAAGGGGATTGTCTAACATAGGCCTAAACTGTGCAAAGGTTTTTTCCGATCATAAACTTAGATCGTCCCTTGAACCCGGATCATAATTCGCTCACTATGCTAAACATAACTATTTATGGTAGGGCTGCGAATATAGAAAAACTCGTTTGAGGCGAAATGAAAAGAAAAGTATGACGCAAGAGGTGGAAGAACAGCGTCGCTGTTATCATCACATTTTCCATACGCACCGTTGGACGTTGAAATGCTGTGTTGATCGTCTCGTCTGGCGACTTTGCCTGGATGGCCTTCGGCCGGCAGAAATTTGCAAATTTTTGGCACGGCCAAACTTGTTTGCGTTTTTGTTGTCTTTGTAATTAATACATAATTAAAGTGGCGCATATTGAAATATGTGCGAGCGATCTGGCCGCGAATGAAAACGAAGTTTTGAAGGTTAATTTCAGGCGTTGATTTAAATTTCATGCGATGCTAATGAAATTTGGAAGATGCCTGCCCTGCCAAAAACAACATAGAGCACCCAAGAGCCAAACGGCCATATTAATATGCATGAAAAAAAGCGACAATGATCAAACTAGTTTTGGAATAAGCCGATCGACCGCATTGACTGCGGCTGTAGCTTCTTTAAGTTAACTCAGCTGCTGACGTAGCTGCCATGCCCAATTGTGAGTTGAACACACTTTGCTAATGTCTTTTTGATTTACATATCTATTACTGATGGACAAAACTCTTGACTGTTCTCAGGTGAATTTCAAGAACTTCTAAAGATATTCTTAGCAGGGCGAACTTGATTATTGTCGATTTTCTAATAGCCAACGTAGACGAACGTACAGCTAGATAGTAAAAATGAAATCTACCAATTTAGTTGATTTCAAATCTTATCTATAATAATTATAGTCTGAGCAGAATGTTTGTACTTCAAAACACATTTGTTTATGTATTCATTTTTCTTTTATATTTAATAGTTCAGGTTTTTGTCTTAGGTTATCTTCTCCTCAAAGTAGAGGAATAAGATGAGTTTAAGGCAAATAAGCATTAGTAACAAGGAACTGGGCAATCCACTTCAAAGGATTTAGACCACGGGGATATGGGCACCCTGGGGCTGGAATCCGTTCTCATCGGCGATGTAGGTGACAGTGTAGGTGACACCATCAGGACCCACATAGGAGTAGGATCCCTTGACGGCGAGGGCCTCATGATCGGAGCCAGCATTCTGCAACACTCCCTGAGCCTCAGCCTGCTGGCCATCGCTAGTTTTCCAGCTGACGAGGAGGATAGGATCAGTTAGGCAACCTCTTGTGGGGGCTTAGGATCAACTTACTCGAAGGCGAAGTTCTCGGGCCCCACATCGGAATTCGACTTCTCGATGTAGGCGTCAGGAGCGACTCCGGCCAAAGCCACGGCGAAGAGGGCAACGAAGACAATCAGGAACTTCATGTTGATATTTGGCTCGTTTGCTGATCTCGAGGAGTTCGATGCGAATGATGTCGATTGGCTGCAGGAGGAAGTCTTTTATACATAGGTTGCAAACTATTCCAAGTGGTTAAACTAACAAAAACATGCATGTCACAATCAAATTTATGATATTGCGTTCAGTTTCGCGAATTTAGTGCGAAACGCATTTTTGGCATAAGCAAAACTTTGATGCGATCCGCAGTCAGGTTTTCTGATTTAATTTAGCTGCAACTGCTTATTGAATACAAGTTGAATAACTTGATACACATATCCATAGAGGGATATTTTTTATGAATCGGGTAGTTTAACAATGCCAATATGGACCAATAATGAACGACGTATAGGAGCATCTTATCAAAACATAGCTTGTGCCAAAATGCGTTTCGCATAAAAATTTGCAAAACTGAGCTCTGTACCATAAATATTCGGAAATATTATTAAAATATGCTAGTTTTATAGTTTGCCTGCGCATTGCATTATTTTACGTGTATAAAAGATTTCCTCTTGCAGTCAAACGATATCATTCGCATCGAACTCCTCGAGATCAGCAAACAAGCCAAAAATCAACATGAAGTTCCTGATTGTCTTCGTTGCCCTCTTCGCCGTGGCTTTGGCCGGAGTCTTGCCTGACTCCTACATCGAGAAGTCGAATTCCGATGTTGGACCCGAGAACTTCGCCTTCGAGTAAGTTGATCCTAAGCCCCCACAAGAGGTTGCCTAACTGATCCTTTCCTCCTCGTCAGCTGGAAAACTAGCGATGGCCAGCAGGCTGAGGCTCAGGGAGTGTTGCAGAATGCTGGCTCCGATCATGAGGCCCTCGCCGTCAAGGGATCCTACTCCTATGTGGGCGATGATGGTGTCACCTACACCGTCACCTACATCGCCGATGAGAACGGATTCCAGCCCCATGGTGCCCATCTGCCCGTGGCCCCCTAAATCCTTTGAAGTGGATTGCCCAGTTCCTTGTTAAATTGCCAAATGACCTTAAATCTCTCATCGATCTTTTTTTTAAGAAAAAGAGAATCTAAGTCAAAAACCTGAACTAAAAATATTAAAGAAATACTTAACCAATGTGTTTAAAAGATATCAAACTCTGGGCAAGTGATTCAAGTTTTTTTTTTTTAATACAAGTTACTCTTTAGTCAAATCCAAGCATTTCGTACATGATGATGAAATCTTTATGATCCCTTTTTATGTTATTCTCTAAATGACTAAATTTATTTGTGGTAGTTGAACAACCATAGGATCCTATTAAACAGAATGCTTGACTATAAGATGCCTGACCGATCAACTTTAAATTATTATAATAGCTTAATCATAAAACATTTTTGTGTGATACAAATACAAAAAGGTTATCACTTTTTATAATTGATTATCAATACCCATCATTAAAAAGTTATAAGTAAATAATGCAATCGACGCCAGGTGGCGCGGTAGCGTGGTGTGCAAACTTGGGAACAGTCATTTTTCTGCATGCATATATCGCACTCCCTTAAGCTGACTAACAGGTATCTGATAGTTCTCATTTGCATAGCCAATCATTAATTTCAGCCAAACTTTTCTTTTACAAGCAGTGCTCTGCAGAGTTAAATTCGCTTTATATCTGCTTTAATACTATGCTTAATTGTTATCACAGAACATAAATTGTTTAAAAAGCTCGCTTCATGACTATATGGAAAATTTATATTAATATAATTTAATATTTATTTAGAGGGCGAATAGGAGCCATACGATTTCCATTGAGTTCAGAGCAAAACTGATATTATTATCACACATTTCGTATTCACCATACGAGTTTGATTAGCTTGACCGCACCTTGGATTGGTTAACCATTTATGTATAAAAGAGTTCATCTGCAATCCATCGATATCATTCGCTTCGAACTCTTCGAGATCAGCACACGAGCCAAAAAACACCATGAAGTTCCTGATTGTCTTTGTTGCCCTCTTCGCCGTGGCTCTGGCCGCTCCTTCTGCCGATAAGGAAACTCAAATCTTGCGATTGGACTCCGATGTTGGACCCGAGAGCTTCAAATACGAGTAAGTTGATTGAGAGGTGCCCCAAAAGGATGCCCAACTGATGCTGACTTTCTTCACAGCTGGGAGACTAGCGATGGCCAGGCTGCTAATGCTGCTGGTCAGCTGAAGAACATTGGATCCGAGAACGAGGCCATCTCCGTCCAGGGATCCTACCGCTTCGTTGGTGATGATGGTGTCACCTACGAAGTCACCTACATCGCCGATGAGAACGGATTCCAGCCCCAGGGAGCCCATCTGCCCGTTGCCCCCGAGGCGTAAGCCATCCAAAGTTCTTTGTTAATAATGGAAAACAATCTAAGTCATAAAAACATATACGAATAAATGTTAAAGAAAAAATGAACACATAAATGGTTTTAATTTGAATCTGAAGTTTCTTAAAAATAATATTGAATCTCATCTCTTCCAATGGATAAAATAGGATTACAAAAAACATAACTCGTAAAGTAAAAGTTTTGTTGTAGTCGATAAAAAGTATGTAGCACGTAGAAGAAATAGTTTTCACTTTCCCAGTTGCTCTAGTCATGTCCGTCAGTCTTTTTTTAAAGACCACAAAAATAAAATAATAAAAGTAGAACAACAAAAATAATTAATTCAAATTTTTAAATTTAATATTAATGAAAATAATTTTTTTATTTATTATAAAAAAAGTTAAAGAGAGATCCTTATTTGTATGATTTAATTTGTAAATACTTTAACAAAGGTAGTATGTATATATTAAATACGATGTTTGTTTTGTTTATTTATATGTTGATTTGGACCATTGACGTCAATGAAACACACCTTCATGCATATAATGAAAAAAAAGAAACAACGATTTTTTCGAGTGTCCCGACTATCAGATACCCAATAAAATTTCAATAAAAATAAAATTGTGGAACATTTATTGGGGCTGCACACATTTCCGATACTTGCACAACGTGCTAAAATCAGTACATCTATTGTCATATGTTGGGAAGGAGTACAGAACGTAGATATTTTGAATTAATTCCTATTCTTGTAATGTAGTAATACGTTGTTAAGGTAAACTTATAATAAATATAAATTTTATTTTTCAATAAAAATACTTTTTTCAAAACTCTCAAAATTTTTGAAATCTGTTAAACGGGACTATTTGTATTATAGTTAGTCGCAGATAATAGTTTTAGATAAGAAATGAATGCTTGCAATACTAACTTACATAAATTACTACTTACGTAGTAAAAATCAATTAGACATACAATTTCATTGAGTTACGAACTGTTGTTCTAAAAATAAAAGCAGTGACGACGCAAAATGTTTCCAAATGCTACAACTGACACAACAAAGGTTTATTGTTCTCAAATTGGATAAGAGTTCGTAAATAAGCATTATAAATGCAAGGGAATAAATTAACAAAAGATAATGTATGATATTTGTGGTTATATAGTTTGTTATATTTATTGTTATTGTTATTTTCTTATAATTCGTAATTCGTATAAGGCCTGTGAAAAACTTTACTTTCTATGTAAATTAAATGTACTACATTCTCAAACGTAATGACAAACTCACTTCACTTAATAGAGCTTCAATTTCTGTTTGGAATATGGTGGTCTAAAGAAATAAACTCATTGATGCTTGTGGGCATATAATTAACAGCATAGTATTACTGTCCGCTGAAAGCGACTGTGTAAAGCGAATGCGACCGAAGTGGTCGATTTGCATTTCGTGTTGGGCTTTAAACTATTCAGCTTTAAACTGAACTCAAATTATACATTCATCATATTACGTTTTGGCCAATTCGGATATTTTTAACATAATCGAAGAGGCTGTCCAACTATTTAAGTGGTGACCCAGCCATCAGACAGCATCATTCGTCGCGAACTGTTCGATAACCGCAGATCAAAACACCAACCAAGAATCACCATGAAGTTCCTGATTGTCTTCGTTGCCCTCTTCGCCCTGGCTCTGGCCGCTCCTTCTGCCGATGTTTCGATCGTGCGATCGGACTCCGATGTTGGACCCGAGAGCTTCAAATACGAGTAAGTTTATCCAAAAGGATCAAAAAGACTCCTAACTGACGCTGACTTTCTTCACAGCTGGGAGACTAGCGATGGACAGGCTGCTAATGCTGCTGGTCAGCTGAAGAACATTGGATCCGAGAACGAGGCCATCTCCGTCCAGGGATCCTACCGCTTCATTGGTGATGATGGTGTCACCTACGAAGTCACCTACATCGCCGATGAGAACGGATTCCAGCCCCAGGGTGCCCATCTGCCCGTTGCCCCCGAGGCGTAAACCATCCAAAGTTCTTTGTTGATATTGTTTAACTTTCAAATCCTATATTTAGGAACGAAAAAGAATCTAAGTCAAAAAACGTAAACAAATTAATATTAAAGATAAAATGAATACATAAATAGTGTTGTTTTGTACATGAAGCTTTTAAACATAATATTGAAGGATGTATCTCATAATATTGAAGGATGTATTTCCACAGATATCTTTTTATACCCGTTACTCGCAGAGTTAAAGGGTATACTATATTCGTTGGAAAGTATGTAGCAGGCAGAATGAAGCGTTTCCGACCCCATAAAGGATATATTTTCTTCACCGGGATCTCTAATATCTGCCTATCTACTTGGCAAACATTTTTGAAATCGAACTATTCACTTAAAAGTTATAAACAAATAAATATTAATATTTCGCAAATTCATTTAAGATTGCACACCATATGTAGCAAATCCGCTGTTTTTACTAATACGCCACCAAGCCGCTAGGGTCACTATGGGATAGTTGGTGTTATGGGTCAGGTGGCGCTGGAATAGAAAGCATAATTGCATCCTTCTCGCACTCTCTTTAGCTGATTTACAGGTCTTCATAGTCGATGGCATCGACTATAGCGTTTTCTCTTGGTTGAGTTACGTTACTTGGAAATTAGATTAAAAACCTTAGATTTTCTAGTGGTGTATCAACTTGTTTTTATAGCCTAGAAAACCTTTTAAACTATTAGAGAGTATAATTATTAAAGCGATCTGAAGTTGTCAATGGGATGTGAAGATTTTACAATTACCTAAAGTTAGATTGTCTGATTCTTTTGTCAAATAAATATGATTTCCTTTTTAATTTTCACGGAACTATTTAATTGACTCTTTAAAATGAGTAGTGCCCAGTGGCCTGACTCGCGAGTCTTGAGACTACTAGATTATTACGTATACGCATAAAGCAAAGAAAGTATTAAGTCAGGGACTGAGGAACCTTTACAAATTTGAATTAGATATTCATTCTATTTAAATTAAGGACGAAATGAAACGAAAATGTTCCAAGAAAAAAAATTGAAGGATGCTACCCAGCGGGGGTTACAATATTTGGTCATAACTTTTTTATGACTGGTCCTATCTTAACCAGTTGTATATATGGATATAGGTATTAGGAAACATATTTAAATCCTCTTTTTATTTTATTTTTTCGACTTTTCCCTTTTTTTCGTTTTAAACTGTTATTTTAGCAAACAGCAATTTTAGCTGGCAGCAATGATTTCAACTCCGCCCTGAGCATTTTAAATGAAGCGTTAAAACGGATAATAGAACTAAGCTCGTATTTAAAACTTAAATTAATTTTTTTGGAAACGAGCGCTGGAAAGTACAATAAAAGTACAATTTGGAAGAATGTGTTCTATTAATATAATTTTATCTAAGCATATTATTAACAACTGATTATTTAAGACCACCGAAAACGATTATGTAAAGCGAATGCGACGAAATAGGCCGAAATTGGTTGATTTGCATTTCGTATTGGGCTTTGAACTGTTCAGCATTAGCCGAACTCAACATTTAGTTTAGCATAATCGATGGGGCTGCCCAGCTATTTAAGTGGTGACCCAGCCAACAGAGAGCATCATTCGTCGCGAACTGTTCGATAACCGCAGATCAAAACACCAACCAAGAATCACCATGAAGTTCCTGATTGTCTTCGTTGCCCTCTTCGCCCTGGCTCTGGCCGCTCCTGCTGATGTTTCGATCGTGCGATCGGACTCCGATGTTGGACCCGAGAGCTTCAAATACGAGTAAGTTCATCCAAAAGGATAAAAAGGACTCCTAACTGATGCTGACTTTCTTCATAGCTGGGAGACTAGCGATGGCCAGGCCGCTAATGCTGCAGGTCAGCTGAAGAACATTGGATCCGAGAACGAGGCCATCTCCGTCCAGGGATCCTACCGCTTCATTGGTGATGATGGTGTCACCTACGAAGTCACCTACATCGCCGACGAGAACGGATTCCAGCCCCAGGGTGCCCATCTGCCCGTTGCCCCCGAGGCATAAGTCATCCATAGTGGATTACCCAGTTCCTTGTTAATATAGCTTAACTGCAAGAAATCCCTGTTAGCCCATTATTACGATGGAAAAAGAATCTATGTCAAAAAGCCTGAGTTGTTAATAAAAAAAGTAGTACATTAAAAAATGTGTGTTTAAATGGATTGAAAGTTTACTGAGAATTTAGACCGCTCAAATGCCAGAGTGTTTTGAGTAGCTTTTATTAGGCACTTATATAATTTTTGAACACACTTTCATTTGGGCCCTAACATCGGAGTTATGTAAAAAAGTATTTTTGTCGTATATGTTTAATTAAACAAAGAAACAATACAATTTAGCATGGATTTTATGGAAAGTGTTTTTCTTCTTATACGGCGCTCTTTATTTTACTCTTGTTTGGTTAAGAGTGACAGCAAGCATTTTTTCTTTCAAGAAACCTTAATTATTTTTAAAGGAAGTGTTACTAAAAATATTGGTTTTCAAATTCTGTTGCTGAAAAATTCAAAAAATTGTATTTTCCCTCCATGTAATCCAAGGATCTTAACAATATTATGTATGGTATATATTTGTTCTAAAATTTTCTTCTAATAAACTTATGTTAAGATTTGTTTTACTTTAAATTGGACCATGTTGTTCATTTTGTGAGAAACCCTTTTAACCAATAAGTTAATAAAGATTGATTAACTCAAAGTTTTAATTATTTCAATTTTACCAATTAGTTCTGTAAACGTTACACTAGAATTTGTAATATGGAGTGGGTCATTTGTATTCAAACGTGCTATCAACATATAATTATAAATGACACAACAAAGGTTTATCATAAAAAGTCAATAAATTTATTTAACAAGGCAGTGCAAAGCTTGTACTACACTTATCAGTTAATAAAGATTTATCTAACATACTATTAATATGCTTTAAGTGTCTGGAAATGTATAATGACAATAAATTCTATTTTTCCCTAAACATAAGTACAAAAATAACCTATTATATAAAATATTTTAGATTCTTGTAACATTTTTGCAATTGGTCTGAGAACAGAGAGGTAGGTCTGCGAGCTAAAATGATAATGATTTTTTTTATAATTTAGAGCTCCAGTTTAACAGCAACGCAAAGAAGACAGCTGTAAAGGGAATGCGCCAAACTATACAGAAGAAGATGGCCAATTTACATATTGTATTGGCCTTTTGACGATTCGGCTTTAGGCCGAAATTAATTTCACACATTTATCACATTATGCTTTATACGCTACACGTTTGACTAGTTTGGCCGCGTTGGGCTCGGTCGTCGAAGTTTGGCCCTCTATCTATAAAAAGAGAGGCCCAGCCATCAGACAGCATCATTCGTCGCGAACTGTTCGATAACCGCAGATCAAAACACCAACCAAGAATCACCATGAAGTTCCTGATTGTCTTCGTTGCCCTCTTCGCCCTGGCTCTGGCCGCTCCTGCCGATGTTTCGATCGTGCGATCGGACTCCGATGTTGGACCCGAGAGCTTCAAATACGAGTAAGTTTATCCAAAAGGATCAAAAGGACTCCTAACTGACGCTGACTTTCTTCACAGCTGGGAGACTAGCGATGGACAGGCGGCTCAGGCTGCTGGTCAGCTGAAGAACATTGGATCCGAGAACGAGGCCATCTCCGTCCAGGGATCCTACCGTTTCATTGGTGATGATGGTGTCACCTACGAGGTCACCTACATCGCCGATGAGAACGGATTCCAGCCCCAGGGAGCCCATCTGCCCGTTGCCCCCGAGGCCTAAGTTGAGTTGCTTGCACCCAAAGCAGCTTCAAAGCCACCCAATCCTACCCAACTCCTTGTTAATAACTCCGATCCCCACCAAACCGATCTTGTCCTTGTTTTCAAAGGATGGGAACTAAGTCAACCCACTCAGTTTGTTAAATATTAAATGAAAAATGATTACCAGAAATCCAGTGTGTTTTATTATTTAAAATCTTGTTTTTTTTCCCTTACGAAGGTCGGTTTTCAATAACCTTAGTTAGCATATGGTAATGGTTTAGTTATAAATCTGCCTGTTAAACATTTTAACCGATAGGAAACTGGTTACTTAATATAACTTCATAATTATTTAATTACCAAAGAGTTGAAAAAAAGAATTTATATGGAATAATCTATTATTTAGAAATTGGTCTGAGAATGTTATGTGCTCAATCGATATTTTCTATTAATAATTGATTTTTATACCAACAGAAGTGCTCACATACATACATACATATGCATGGGCTAGTACTTATTCATACATTTAATGATAATATGAGAAATGACAATGGCAAAATCACAATGCACAATAACAAAAAGTTGGAACTCAGAACAAGCCTACCGACTAGAAGACATCTTCTAAGCTAGAGATGGTATTTTGTATACAAATACCAGTTGTTAGATCAATCCATGATTTACAAACGAAAATATTCATGATTCGTGTTTTTTTCCGAGCCACGAGTAGTATAGGCAGTGTGATTTGAGAAAAAACCTTAGCTTGCCGGCGAGATAACACGTAATTCTGTCTATCAAATGGCTGTCGACAAGGTAATTGCATGCATTACCTCCCACTGGGTATACCTGCATGCACGATTAGTGCAGGGTATTTAGAGTGTTAATCTGTAATTAAAATGTGTTTTATTGAATGTTTCCATTATAGCTGATTTCTTTATTTTTCATTTGTTTTATTATTTTGCATTTTTCGCCGATGAGGACATTATCCAGAGACTTAGTATAAAAGGGCGTCATTCAATCGCATGGCAGCTCAGTAAAGTGCAGCTTAGTGTGACGGAGACTGTGAAATCGAATTGTTCCCGCGATGCATTCGAATATTATGTGGCTAGTAGCCTTCATGGCAATTGGGGTTTGTCTGGCCCGGCCCGCTGGGGAGGATGCCCAGGCGGAGACCATCAAACTGGAGAGCGAGAACACTGGCGACAAGTATTCCTTTGCGTGGGTATTGCCCTGACGGGTTGGAAAAAGTGAAAAATTAGTGTTATTTATTCTTAAACTTTCTAACTGACCCCAAAAAGGCTCCGAATTTTATAAAAATGGATATGAGCTCTGGCCATAAACATGTAAAATTATATAGCTTAATGGCACATAACTGATAAAGTGTACAAAACCATCTTGTAAATCTTCTTAAAACAATAAAATGAGGTACATTTTGCCCTCCCGTTTTTAAAAAAATCGTATAAATTCAATACTCCATATTGCTTCTATAAGAACTATAGGACATCTTGTCCAATTCCAATGATTTTATTTTATTAACATAGTTACACATAAATGAGTAAGAGTTTAAGAGCTATCATGATTCATGATTTAATGGTTACAATCTAAAAGATACATTTTTTTAAGTTCTTTCGTAATGCTAATACTCGTAGTAATAATTGCGAGTACTAACTCAAATCCATTGATTAATTAGTTGACTAAACAATTGCACTTCCGACCGCAGCTATGAGACGAGCAATGGAATCTCGCGCACTGAGACTGGAGAGGTGAAGCCAGGTGCTGGTGAAGAGGATGGCTCTCTTTCTGTCCAGGGCTCGACCAGCTGGTCAGCTCCAGATGGCAAGAAGTACGAGATCAGCTTCACGGCCGACGAGACTGGCTACCACCCCAAGTTCAAGCTGGTGGCCTAGGAGTGGTCTCAAATTCAAATTCAGCTAAATATTCCCAATATTTAATTAGTGACTACCATAATCCAATGTAAAAATGTTTAAGATCGAAGAATAAACTAGACACAATTAAAAAAAATCTTAAGGAAGCTCCAGATCTTCATTGACGTCACTGACTTTGGGCGGATTTATAGAAACATAAGACTAGCACAATGTGTTGGTTAAAATTTGAATAATTAAATATTTATGGGCGCAATTCTTTTCAGCCTATCGTCTTATTTAAATTTCATATTAGGCCTATTATTGCTCGAACAGCAAACGAAAATGAAATCCAAACCAGACTTTTCACATTAACATTGACTTTGCTGATTATGTCTTCTACACGTTTGACTAGTTCGGCCACGCTTTGAACAATCGCCAACAGTTTGCCAACTATAAAAGGGTTTACACGGCCTACCATCGTTACCATTCGTCGTGAACTGTTCGATAACCGCAGATCAAAACACCAACCAAGAATCACCATGAAGTTCCTCATTGTCTTCGTTGCCCTCTTCGCCCTGGCTCTGGCCGCTCCTGCTGATGTTTCGATCGTGCGATCGGACTCCGATGTTGGACCCGAGAGCTTCAAATACGAGTAAGTTGAATGAAAGCTGCCCCAAAAGGATGCCTAACTGATCCTGACTTTCTTCACAGCTGGGAGACTAGCGATGGCCAGAAGGCTCAGGCCGAAGGTCAGCTGAACAACATTGGATCCGAGAACGAGAGCCTCGCCGTCCGTGGATCCTTCTCCTTCGTGGCCGATGATGGTGTCACCTACACCGTCAACTACATCGCCGATGAGAACGGATTCCAGCCCCAGGGAGCCCATCTGCCCGTTGCCCCCGAGGCCTAAGTTGAGTTGCTTGCATCCAAAGCAGCTTTAATGCCACCCAATCCTACACAATTCCTTGTTATTTTTCCCAAAACTTCCCTACTTTCGGTTTCCCTTTCAATGGAAGGGAAAGAATCCTAAGTCACAGAACGCAATTTGTTGAATATTAAAAAATGAAGATTTCATTCGAACTGGTTTTATTTGAGTAGTCCAAATCATCTGCGGATCAACGGGGTGGGCTGAAGAGTGAAAGAAAGTGCGGTCTTCAGGACATAGGCATAACCTTTTTTTTTAAGTCAACTGAATGCTAGGATTGTAAGCCGGGTTTGTAAAACTATGGCCTTTTACATGCTAAATTAGTAATAGAAACAGTTTTAAAATCATTTTTAAAGTTTATTCATTTATCTTTTTAATAATATACATAGAGATAGTTAGTAGTTTTCGATCCGATTCTTAAAGTTTGTTAAAAAATAAATGAATTTAAAAACAAGAACGGAAGCTAACCAATTTCTTTTGACTTTGTTAGAAACTTTAAATATTGCATTTTGTATAGGGAGGCATACATACAGGGCACAACCATCAACACAATTTGGAGAACATTTATTTAAATGTTAATTTTTCCGAAAATGAATGATGAATAAATAAAAAAAATTAATTTTTATAAACTAATAATAATTTGGTTTTGTTTCCTTCCCCTTTCGAGATAAAATAAAAAAAATGAAAAATATATCAAGATTGTATAGTGATTAATCAAACCATTAAAGTTATTATAGAACTCACAAATCTTTCATAATCAGGTTTATTAATATAACAGCTATTAATTATTTCATTGTGCTCCGCTTTATCAGTTTAGTTCTTGTGAGATTTTAACAAGATATTTATTATTATTTATATGTTTTCAGCCAAATTAAAATTAAACATCCATTTGTTTTTGGTTTAAGTTAACGTATTGCCGCCTTTGTGGACTAAAATTAAAGTGCTTAGTGGTAGAAAACAATTTAGCTCATTTTAGGGCTTCATGTTTAAATCTGCCTCCCAAACGAATGACTTAGACAACGAACTTGAATTTTTCCTTTGCATACTTTTGGGTGCCAACGGCTAATTAACCATAACTTCGTGACGCGTCTGCTTAGATTCGCATCATTTATGCTTGTACTCAAAGGCAACTTTTTATTGCAATTAATATGCAAATTTTAGCATACAACATCAGTCATTGCCGAACTTGACAGCAATATTTCAATTACAATTGCCTGCCAGCATCCGGCAGAAGACACGCTGACTGTTGATTGCCAATCGATAGTGAGAATAGAGAAGTGCAAACATCTTCCTCATTGCATTCTGATTTGCTCATCAAGCAGGTCAAATGCCTGGCCACTAATTAGACTCAACAAGTTGGATGGCAAATACATTGTATTCGAATAATTATTAACAAATAGTCAATGACATTTCTTGCCCTCAGGGCTAATCAAAGGTTTTGGAGAGCATCTGTAAGTAATATATCTTAAATCACGGACGTTTCATGGTATGAAAACAACTTAACTTAGAAGGATATTTATGCTTAATATTCTACTAATTTTATTTATTTTGAAATTCAAGCTCTGTGCTGAATATATTCTTCTCTGAATCTAAAAAGCGTTTTCCAAATTCATTATTATTTAGTAAATGTTATCTACGAATATCTAAAAGATAATTTAGATGTCTTTTAAGTTCATTGATTTAATGGAATTTCATTCATTTCTAATGATTTCAATTCAGATTAAAATAAAATAAATTAATCGCTTAAATTAAATTAAATAAGTTAAAAAAAAACATAAGAATAATGTATCAGCCTATAAAGCGCAAATATTAAATTACTTGTTTAAGGAGATATTATTTTTCTGATTCAGTGATAGCAGTTGGCAAAAAATAAGTTTCTTAATACGAATTCTTTATGCCCTTTAATAGAACTCAAGCTCTGTATAAAAAATGCGGATCGAGAATACTCAGGAAGTCCAGAAATCGCAGCCGAAAATGTTATCTAACAATGCCGATTTTTTGCTTATACATATCGGGGATGCAAATGACCAAATATTCTTGAACTGGCTGACAAGCAGTTTAAATAATCAAATAAATAACTATGCAGAGTGCATGAAATTAAATTATGAGTACAGGCTCGGCTGAAGCTCAAGAGGTGTGATGCGGCCTGGCCAATGCTACCAGCTCTGCGATTCGCGGACTTGGCCAATACAGACGCAGCTCGGGGCACACAGATACGCACGCACACGCGGCCAACGGGCAGCGGCAGGTCCGCGTCCGCTTCTAATGTTTTATAATGTTTACCTAATATTATTAACATTGTCAATTCGCTGCCGAACATCGTGGGGTGTGTTTCATTCTCAGGCGCTTGCTCCGAACCGATAATCTCGCCGTGAGAAACGCGTCGTTCCGTCCGCTTGAAATTCAAATATTTATAATCGTATATTTGTATTAAAATATAAACGCCCGCTTATTTATGCGTTTTGTTTCGTGAGATCGCTGACAGTTCATAATAGGGCGTGAAGAATTAAATAAATTTGTGAGCAATTTAAATTAATAAAAATTAGGCCGCAAAATGAGCCTCAAAATGATGGCGTTTGCTTGTGCTGTAAGTGCTTTGACCCCTGACATGATCTTGACCCCGGCATTGATGGTGATCCTTTTAAGCTGCTGCTCCTGTGCACCTTGACCCACGTCCTGTCGGCAGCGACCACAGTGCGACCCTACAAGTTCGGCTTCACCATCGACGAGCAGCAGCATCGGGCGGAGAAGAGAGGTGAGCTGCTTGGCTAATGACGCTAATTATACCATTAGCATATCTTGACTACTGTGCGTCGATTTATTGACACCAAAACCGAAATATGTAAATAGATGATGCGTCATCTCGAGTGTCGTTTGATGCAGATGCGCAAATGCAGCGGAATCGGCATCGGCAGGCAGCATTAGCCAAAAAAAGCCATAACTTTTGACTTTTGAGCCGGAGTGCGACTGGCGGCTTGTGCAATGCCACACAATACACGTTTGATGGGTGCACGATGCACCTGAGCGACAGGTCACCAGCAATTGAAATACCAGCCTCCAATGGCAATTAGCGGACTCTTCACAGATACATCTGGCCGGGGGTCCACATCCACTTACGCTGTCCATTGTCCAAATGGCATACATGGTCGTTATGATTTTTATTTCCATGCTGAATCGGTGATAAAGTTTTCTGAAAATCGAAAACGAAACGCGCCCGATTTGCATAACATGTAGACGCGTCCGAATACCCAAATGTTTGCCTTATTTATGGTTTTTCTTTCTTCGGCTAATGCTAATTCTTAAAAGAACAGTCACATTTCAATATTTATAAGTATAATTCTGGCATATGAAATGCCAGAGTTGAGGCCGAAATATTGGATTACGTTCATATTTTTATACTAGTTCAGGAACTTGTTGTGCATTCAACAATGATATTTGTCTTTTGAACATCACTTTAAAGGAGAATAAAAGATATCGGTATGCTAACAAAGCTTTTTACACGATTTCGGCGTGTTTGAATCATTCTTATTCAAATGTTTGTCGATTTTCAAGATCAATTGATCTAGATCAATTACGGAGTCTAGTTTTAGGGGCATTACATCACCAGATCGATTAGAAGGTTATGCTTAATTTAAACTGTGTCGTTCAAAATTAAAAGAGCTAACACAAAAACGTTAAAACCACCCAGCTTAAAAAAAGAGGTTAATGAATTTGTTTCCTTAATATTTGGTGTTTTCTTAAAGTTGCATAAACAATTGAGGACCAATTGTATAAACACAATCTTTAACTCCAAATTTCTTTACGGTCGCTCATTTTTATGACCACACTAAATTTTATGACATGCAATAAAAAACAGTCAATGTTTAAAACAATATAGTTGGGTTGAGCCAAACATCAGAAATATACACCTGAAGTTGAAATTTACAAAGTACCCTGATAAATAACATTATAAATTTAAATACTTTTCATGTTTCGAGAACAAATATATTAGTTTTAATCAAAAAAAGAAATTCGTTTTTAATTACCCTCTAAATTAAAAGTAATTTGATTGTACGTTTTAAATTTCGTCTTTATTTTATAACCAGAAAAGACTTGGATAATTTATATTGATACGAGTTTAATAGTTTTAATTACTTAGCCCAGCCCAATGAACAATTTATTCTCAAATTGATCACGACAAAAGAATAAATTTTAATAAAGAATTATTTTCTAATCTCGCCGAAAGCGATCTAGACAAATGGGAAAGTGACACGAAGCCATATTCGAATTAAACATAAAACAAACAATCGAAAGCCAATTGATGCAAACCGTTAAAACTTGTTAGACAGTTTTGTGGAAACCTGTTTAAAGACACAAAGGCCACAAGCCAGAATTTCGAATGACAGTTTTTGGTGGGTGGCTGGACAGGATGCTTCGGTGAGAGTCGCACCTCTTTAAGACCATCCACATCTGAATTATTAAATTCTTCTCAGCATAGGAATGTTTTTCGCGTGGGCACCTGCCTTTCGGGGCGGCGGGCTTTTGTGCGGGTGTGGGGGTTTTAAGAAACCAGCTCACAAGTTATGATCGCCATTGTCGATACAGTTTATTAGATCCTAATCTTTATGGGCCGGGCTGGGCAGGTTATCAAACGAATTAAAAATCACATATCGGCGTAAAATTCGCATTCATATTCAAAATGAACACAAAATCTGTTTGACCAAATCTTATCTCGTTTCCCGATCCACAGATGAACGCGGCATTATCATGGGCGAGTTTGGGTTCATCACCGCCGATGGAATATACCATGTTACGGTCTATGCCACCGACGAGGAGGGCAAGTTCCGCATAATCTCCATGAAGAGCTATCCCTACGCAGGTCCCGTCGGTCAAAGTGAGTAACAACCAGTTTAAAAGCAATTCTTAACTCTTGAACTCAAAATGCATCTTACTTGAAACCTGTCAACTTATTAAAATGTATGCTTTAAGCGCTTAAAATTATAATTTATTAATTCAAATCATTAAACCGACTAGGAATTCTTAAAGATTATTTCCTTTAAAAATCAACAGGTTTTCCAGCTACGTAGTGATCTAAATATAACTAACCGTTAATGGCTTGATAAGAATTAGCAGAACATTAGAAAATAGTATTTATTTGCAAATTATCCCATTCATATCTCAATCAACTATTGTTATTTAAAAACTTAGGAAGTTGAAATTGAATTTAAATCTGAAATTTGGAAATTCTGCATTTTCGCTTTTTTTGGGTATTTTAATCAAACTCGTTTTGCACCAACTATAAGATAAAAGTAACACTGCTATATTTATAAAGATTTTGATTCTATAGATATAATGACTAACATTTTTACAAATGGCAAAAAAATACAGATAAAAATCGAAACCAGTAAATGTTGCAATATGATACATCAATTAATAAAACTGACTATGTACAATTACATATTTTAATAATCAACAGAAAATAAAGCTAAAAACATGGATTACTAGCTTGTTTGTATAAAATGCATAACTATTAGTTATTGTAATTGGAGATAATTCATTCAACCATTTAATGCAAAATTCAATGGCCATATAAGATCTAGTATGCATGCATCATATTTTTCTTAACTTCCCAGAGACACTGTCTGTGACAACGACTCCAAAGGCATTGCCACTTCCGCTTCCGGTGGCTCCTCCCAGGAATACCTTCATCACGGAGGGATGTGCCGGCTGTTTCCTGAAGAAGTCTCCTCCCAAGACGGAGATTCGCACTCTTTCCCAGCCATTGTCGCCAGCTCAATCAGGTAAGCCCGAGGGCTCTCCGGATTACGGCCTGAATGTGCAGTTGCCCTTCCGGGAGTCCATTGCCCAGACTGTGGCAAGGCGTCTTGGCTCGGACCAAGATACACAGCAAAGCACCAACACTTACACGAATGCACCAAACACTAAACACATCGAACTTGGTCTTAACTTAGCCATGAACACTTACTACACAACCAAGGGCGCTGTGACCGGACATGTGAGCACTCAGACCTCGAATTCTCAATCATCAAGTGGCAACACAAAGATCGACTACAATGTGGGCGTGGTCGAGCGGGCCGGACCGCCAGTGTATCCACCATTGAACATAAAGTTGGATGAGTCAGCAATAAGGGAAGCCATCACGTATGCCGGCCGGGTAACAGGTCCTGTGGCCCTGGCCGATCAGCCACTTATTGCCCCAGCATCGGTGCCTGCCAGTCAAGTGAAAATCTTCTCTGTAGATGAAAATGCCAACCTTCCGCTTGCCAGCTATGTTCAATCCGTAGCACAACGTCCAAGTGCTGACATCAGAAACATCCTTCGATCGGGTGTTGCCTCTGCGAAAACAGTGGCGCATTCGAAGGCACAGCCCACACTCACACAGAACCCACACCAAGCACTTCTTTTGAGTAAGCCAAATTGGGGGGGAAAATATTGGTTCAAATATTTAAATTATTTATTTTTTACTTAATGATTTCCTTTGCTGAGTTGATAAAGTGATAATGGGTCCATGATTTTATTTAAAAGACACATTATACTAGAAGCTATTATTCATAGAAATTCTTAAAACTCTATAACCACTTTCTTAATTTATAAAAAAAAGTATTTTTTAATATTATTATTGCTTTTTTCCTGGTAATTTGTAAAAATGTAATTGAAGAATGTGTATGCCAAAAACTACTATGACTTAAAGCCACCTAGTGGTATAACGTTGCACTTAAATATTTTACACGAGTTCTACACAGCTTCTACGGTATGGTTTGAGTCCTTACTAAATTTCCCTTGTGTTTATGATCAGATTCAGCAACCACTGCGGGAATTTCTGGAGTGTCAGCCAATTCACCAACCGGAAGTTCAGCAAACAGCGGAAGCTTCTCTGCAGGAAAATCGCCTGCTGGAGGATCTGGAGGATCACAAACTGGAGGACCTGGGGGTGTTTTCGGCGTTGGAGGTTCAGACGGAAGCAAGGCATCAGGTGGTTCAGCTGGAGGAAGCTCACCAGGATCTGGATTCGGAGTTTCTGGAGGAAGGAACCCATCTGGAGGTTCCGCTGTCGGAAGTTCGTCAGGATCTGGATTTGGAGGAGTCGGTGGTGGAAGCTCGTCAGGATCTAGACTTGGAGGAGTCGGTAGTGGAAGCTCGTCAGGATCTGGATTTGGAGGTGTCGGTGGTGGAAGCTCATCAGGATCTGGACTTGGAGGAATCGGTGGTGGAAGCTCGTTGGGATCTAGTCTTGGAGGAGTCGGTGGCGGAAGCTCTTCAGGATCTAGACTTGGAGGAGTCGGTGGTGGAAGCAAAGCCTCTGGTTTTGGCGGAGGAATTGGTGCGGGAAGCGGAACTGCCGCTGGAGCAACGGGAGATCTGTACAAATTCAAGTACATCCTGGACTACAACGGACACGAGGAGACTGGCGGTCGCAATGGCGACAAGCAGGGAAGCTACTTCGCCATCGGCGAGGATGCAGTGCAGCGGACCATCGAGTACATTGCGAACGAGTTTGGATTCCAGCCGCACGTTAGCTGGCGGAAATTAGACGCCAAGGAGGCGCTGCCCGAGGAGAATTCGCTGAAGCACTACGAGTTCAAGTGGTTCAACCAGGAGCAGTAGCCGCTGATTCTGCAGCGGATTAGTCCAAGTCTAGGGTAGTCACCACTTTCCCCCCTGCTGTACATAACAAGTCTTGTTAATTTTCCCAATAAATACCACGTTTAACAGATAAGAATCGAGTCCTTTTTGAATTGGGTTTTATTTTTGTTGAAAGTTTTCGCCTTAAATTAACTAAATTCTTAGAGGGTTTCGGTGTGTGGGCATCGCTGATGTTTTGTTTTTAAATTGGTTTCCGCTTCGTAGAGTTTACATTCAGAATTTAAAATTGTATACACTTAGATCGTTAACGATTAGTTCGCTTTTTGTCGTATTTCGATTTGGTAAATACACATAGTTACACACATTTAAATTTTCATATATATATATATATATTCGCCTCGTATTATTATAGTTAAACTTTGACTTACAATTTAGAAAGTTTTCTGTTTTTTACACACAAATATATAGTATGTCTAGACTTGGGATTAATACGTACTCGTAATTTATTTTAATATTTATTCGTTTGTAATTTGGTATTTAAAAAATATGTAAGAGTTTTAACTGTACAATCAACTATCACAGTCAACCATCTCAAAACGATAAGCGATGAACGAAAATTGATAAACGTAAAACCGAATTTAAAGCATTAATTCAAATGAAACACAAATAAACTACTTTACGCTCTAAACATTTTTACACTTAGGCAAATATTTATATACAAATCGTAAATTGAAGTGAGAATGTGGCAAACTTTTATAACTAGACATTCACTGTTGTGCTGAACGTTATTTGGAGGATGATATTGTTATTTTGCTATTTACAAATGCTTCACACACACAAAATGCTAACAACAATTGCAGAATACTAGAACTATTCGAAGTCTTAGCCTGGAAAAGTTCTGTTTTGAATTTAAGGAAAGAGTTAGTCCTTGTTACACTAAAAACACTTAGAGTTTGGTTTAGCTTCGAATGCCAACTATATCGTATATTAGTGGAATGTTAGTTCCCTAACCCTAGAGCAACAACGAATCATTCACTCACTCACTCACACACACTCGTAAAATATTTAGCTGGGGGTTGTTTTGTTTCTCCGTTTTTCTCTTTTTCGGGTTAGGATTTACGGGTGTTTTTTCGCTAAGTACCTATGAATAAAATCCGCTGCAAATACTTTTGCTGCCTGCTTTTCGTTTCGATTTTTGTGTTTGTTTGTTGGTTTGTTTGTTTGGATCTTTTCTGGTGGTTCTGGTTACAAGTGTTGCCATTGCATCTACAGTAAAAACGTGGCCTGCTCGCCGCTCTTCATGTCCAGATAATCGTATAGGGCCCGCTCGTTGGCCCCGTAGTTGCCGGCGTGTCCTGGAAGTCCGGTGTGGGCGGGATGCCCGTGATGGTGGTACGGCGGTATATTTTCACCTGCGGGCGTGGCAGCCGGCGGCGAAGGACCTGCGCCCATCGTCAGCCCGAACTTCTCCAAGTGGCATCATTTGAGCAGTGTGGGCAGGCTGCTGTTCATCAGGCGGTTGCCCACGACCAGCGAATTGAGCGTCGAGTTGCCACCCCCCACGCCCACGCCCACCCCCACGCCCACTCCCATTCCGGCCACACTGAGTCCTCCAATTGTCCCGAATCCCGCACTGGCATGAGCCGGAGTCGCCGTCAAGGTGGCCGTGGCTATGTTGAGGTTGTTGCTCACACTGGACGACCCACCGCTGCTGGAGACATGGGATCCATTCAGGTTGCCATTGCTGGAGAAGCCGCTCATGACAGTGCCACCGCCGCCTCCTCCTCCACCGCCTCCTCCTGCTCCGCTGCTGGCTGTGCTGCTCGAGGTGGAGCCCACGCCCGTGGTGACACCGGAGGCACCTGCTCCACCGCCTCCTCCACCGCTGCCGCCGCCCACTCCGCCGATGCCCACGCCCGTCGAGGCCGTGCCGCCGCCAATGCCCGAGGCACTGGCGATGGCGTTGCTCTCATATTAGAAGGCGCCACCGGACGATGATGGTCATGCGTAGTGGGGATAGCTGCTCAGGTGGGGCGCCACATGGGAGGGGGTAACGTGGCTCATCGAGTGCGGCTGGTACAGGTTCGTGGCCGGGCTGCCCCAGTTGCCCCATGAGGCGGCCGACGGGAAGATCGAGGCTGCAAGAAAGGAAAAAAAAATAGATTCCATTAAGTCAAAGTTTGGGAACGTAATTCTAAATATGAAAATTTTCTAGTCACAGTTTTCACCTCTTCAGAAAATTTTATTGTTAAGAATATGGATTTTCTACCATTCATAAAAAAATTGTTTTCAGAATTAAAACCCTAAACATATTTTTTTAGTCCTTGTCAAAAGTTCCTTTACCATTCTCTGCATTTAAATCGATTCTAAATTAATTGTTTCTATTGTATAGTAATAGTATTTGTATTAGCTCGCAAAAATGTTTGCCTTTAAATTGTTTCACTTTCACTTATGATATTATTATGTGTTATAAATCCGCGCATTTCCGTTTAAGCACTTGTATGGACTATATTTTAACACATATAATTAACATAATTTGTAATAAATTCCATGAAATATAAGTATTTTTATTTTAGGTGATTAAGAATGGAGAGTTCATTGCAAACACATAAATAATCAAAAATGGTTTTACATTTGTCGAAGCTATACAAATGAGTTATGCATAGTTCCTTATAGGGACTTCGCAAACGTGTGCTTACCCGATGATGAGGTCATGCCGTGGTGCGGACTCATGAACGAGCTGAGCTTGGCGCTGTGGTGATATGGTGTCATGAACAAGTCGCTCTGGTACTTGTAGGTGGGATCGCTGGCCGCCGGCTGAGTGGCGGCTGCCAGGCCTTGGAAATCGAACTTGTACGCATACCGCTTGCCGTGCACCTTGGTCATTATGTTCTTGTCGTAGTAATACCTGCAAGGGAAAGTGGGAGAAAGCGCTTAATAAAGGAATCGATTTAAGTTACCTTAAATTTCTATTATTTCTGTGATGTTTAATTTAAGACTTTAAGTTTTATTATTATTATGGATATCATTTATTGATACATTTACCAAGATACACAGAATTCAGACATGGGATTTCAAAATTAATATCACTGATTCTTCATTATTATTTAACACTATTACAACTTTACCCATAAAATTGACTTTGGACCTAAGCAATCAACCCCCAAACCGTAAAGCTACTCCTTCTGCTGTCCATTTTCATGATCTCAATGTGGGAAAGTCAAACAAAAGCTGAGATGAGCAGGGACTCCCCCAGATGGACAATAAATAATTACAGAATAATGCTCGCTTTATGCGTTTTAAGTTAATTTGCTGACATTAAGCGATTTTAGTACCGCTCCCCAGGCGCAGCTCCCTTTTCGGATTCTGTTCAGCAATTAAATGGCAACGCCTTGTGCCCAAACGCAAATAGAAATTTCAGCGAGGGGTAAAATTATGTGGGCGGGCAGACGGCCAAGAAATTCGAGCGAAATTTGTTTACATTCGAGGGTTATCCGGCGATTTCTTTTCATTAAGTTGCGATGTTTGGCCAGTCAGCTGAATTTCGCACTCTTTAAAGCACATTCAAATGGCTATTTAAATATCCCTTGCCTCCTGCATATTGCTCGTTTATTGTTACGCTTTAAAATGTCCACAACTTCCGCCAGACAAGTGAAAAAAAAATTGGCAAATAAATTACAAAGCGTTGCAGGCAGAGCAAACATTTCAATGCATCAATGCAAATTGGCATAATGCGTGCAGTTGAGTTCTTTCTTTCATTTTTTTGCACCGTCCATAAATTATGCCAATTACGGCCATAAATTAAAAGCAGCAAAAACAAAAGCTTGACGCTGGGGGAAAATGCAAAAGAGTAAAAGAAGAAAGTGGCCTGAATGCCGCTGCTCTTTGCACAGACAATCAAAGCCAATCAATGACTGATGAGCCAAGGACAAAGGGGCACAATCAGGGAGCAAGGATAACTGCATGGAGAGAAAAGGATTAAAGTAAACCCATTTCGAGGATTGGCCAGGACGGGCCAGAGCAGGCCAACAAAAGGCCAGCTGGCTGTGAATAAACATGTCAAATGAAGCATTAAAGCACTTGTCCTTGCTGTGCGGCTGTGTGGGTGATTGGGTGTCTTGGATGTCCGTGTGTGAGTGAGTGAAGGATATTTATCCCGGCCTGGCTGAGTGTTAATTTACACACCCATACACACTCTCGCATTTCTGAGCAAACAAGAAAGCCAACGGCGATGATGTCTCTTGTGTTCAATTGAGTTGAAATGCGCAAAAAGAACAGACATGTTGAGGCTTCCTGCACATCAAAAAGGATTCCATTCCCCATCCCCCTCTTTGCCTTTGTTGTTGCCTGATTTTTCTAGACTTTTTACATTTTATTTACATGTGTGAGCGGAGCATGTTGCAAATTGGCTGTCAGGACTTTTCCACTTGAATTCGCTCCATTGGCACTCGTTTGATTGCGAGTGACAGTTTCAAGGAGCCGGCTAAAAGGGTTCTTCGCCCTGTGGATTAGGCCAACTCGGCCCTGGTCATGTTTATTCAGCAAATTGACCGTTGCACAAATAGTTTGTGCATATGTTACACGACTCTGTCAAATGCTACAGCTCCAGATTTCGAAATCGAGTTATGTTCTTCTGCAATTAGATTTCGAATTTATTGGATTTTTGATTACATTCCCGCTCGGTCCAAGGGAACAATTTATGATTGAATTTCTGTGCCGACCTGCCACGCCCACACAATCAAGTGGGCCAAAGTCTTGGCCAGCCAGTGGATTAGCTGGCCAGTTTTTTGGGTGATTTTCTGGCTGTTTAGCCATCAAATCGGCTAATCAGTGCAGGGACAAATCATTTACTGATGAGCCGAATACCAAATTGCACACATGCTCGCATTTTGACGCACAGATATCGGCTAATTAGGGTATACTTCAGCGCACAAGGAAAACAACCCCATGTGGTTAGGAAATATTCCGAAATCGAACTATTTTTTTTATGTGGATTTATTTATGAGATAAAACGTTGTGTTCATACTTGTATTTAAAAAAAAGATAACAGATTTGATCTCTGTTTAAATACAAGACCTAAATAATGTGTTTATTTTAATAGAATGTTTGGCAGAC